CCCCCCCCCTCCCCCCACCCCCCTCTGCGCGTGGCTGACAACTGCTGGGGGCCCCCCTGTGGGCGGGCCACACGCAAGAGTGACCCTGGGTAAGGTGACCTTTGGTGCGCGGCTTCTTCGGAGGCCGCGGGGGGTCAAACACAAGCGCGCAAGACGCTACCATCGCATCGCGCTCGGCGATCGGGGGACCCCAAAGGGCCCGCACTAAAGGTCGCTCCGGCGAAAGGTCACTCCTGCGTGCAGTCGATATGGGCCGGCACCAAAGGCCACGCCCGCGAAGGGCCACTCTGAATGACGCGTAGCCGGAAAAAGGCGCCCGTGGCGACCCTCTCGCGGCTCCGGGGGACCTGGGTCCCAGGAGGCCGCGACCGTGCAAGCAACGTCAGCACAGCCCGTACAACTCCTCTCCGTCGCCGCGAGGCCCAGAGATCTGGGTCGCAGGGCGTCCGCACATGGGCCTCTGGGCCTCCTCCAGGGCGCCATGTGGCCAGAAATCGGGGGCGGGTGCCGAGAGCCGCGGCGACGAAGGAAGGACGAGCCACCACCGAGTCGGAAAACCGGGTCCTATCGGAACGTACGTCGAATCGGGCCGCGTCGGCCCGCAGTCGGAATCGGATCGGATCGGCCGCACCAGGATGCACAGCGACGCCACGCGGGCATCGAGGCCGCACTCGGGATATCGAAACAAATCGGGCTGTGCCAGTCAACATCGATGCCGGATCGGATCGATCGGATCGGAATGGATCCTGCGAGGACGCCCGAGGAGCCCACCAACGGGGGCCCAAAAACGTCCAGCATCAGTTTGTGCTGCGACGCGAACGGCGATGCCAGCGACGACGACTTCCCTGGAGGATCGAAAACATCTCGATTCTGGAGGTCGCACTTCTCCATCTTGGAGGAAGTAAAGCACTCCCAGAGTGAGCAGAAGCATACATAACCATGGCATAGAGGAGGTCGAACTTCATGTTGGAGGTTTTCGATCCTCTCGGGTCAGCTTGGCGGCGCCCCGAGGCGCCAGAGGCTATCTCGGCGGCGGCCGCGGCCGCCGCGGCCGCCGCCGCGGCTTTTCTTCTCTCGTCGCCCTCGGACTTCAGGTCCAGGCCAGAGGAGAAGCCCCGGGGCGCGTCTCCTGGGCAGCGGCAGCGGCAGGGAAGAGGGAGGAGCCAGGGGAGGTCGCTCCTCCATCTCCTCTCCTTACGGCCACCACGACTAGTAAGGATGGGCAACTCTCCAAGGTCACCCTTGCATCATTCCCCTTCGGCCCGTCCTTGGCCGCTTTCGCTGGTCGCGCCCCGCCCGCAAAATGTCGGCATGGCTTTCCAAGGCCCTTGCATACTTACCACGCATCGTTCTTATACGGGCTGACTGTATAGATAACTCATCCTTCTCGCACCCCGAGGCCGTTCGAAAGGGCGGGCAGGGCGTTTCGCCTGTGACTTCCTCATCCTTCACGATCCTGAAACTTACTATTTGCAAGAGTTTCACAGATGGAAGGCAGCCCGTTTTCACAATGCGGCTCTCGCCTCCGCGCCGCGCACACTCGTCTTAATACATGCAAGAGAATAATGTATGGACGGCGGTCCGTTTTCAACACGTGGCTCTCGCCGTAGCGCCGCGCACATTTGGTAACAGAAAAACCCAAGAGCTCCACGGATGGAGGGCGGCCCGTTCTCCAGGTATGGCTCTCGCCTTAGCGCCGCGCAGCTTCGTTTTAAAAGCTTGCTAGAGCTTCACGGATGGAGGGCCGTTCCTTTTCAAAGTGTGGCTCTCGCCATAGCGCCGCGCACATTCGTCTTAAGAACTTGCAGCCATATTACGGATGCTCATGGTTACTTCAACGTATCAGGACCGGTGTTTGGGCACGATGTCGGAGTGCCAGGGCGCAACAATCACGTTGATTTGCGGTGTTGATATCCCAATAATGGCCTTCTGGCAAGATTCTGGATCGTCAAGACGCATCCGTACCGGTGATTCGGGGCGTTGGTGTCTCAAAAATGGTGTTCTGGCCCATTCCGGATTTTCAAACTGTTGCCTTCCAATAAGGCACTGCCCTCAATTAATATGAATCCGTGTAGGGGCCTATGAAGAAGGAACTTGGAGGGAGGGTTTATTGTAATATCGTTGCTGGCTCTTTGGTTCACACTGGTCCTCCTCCTCCTCCTCCTCTTCCTCCTCCTCCCTTGTCCTCCTCCTCCTCGCTTCTCACTTCTCCTCATCCACCCTCCTTCTCTGGCGGAAGCCTCCAGAGGTCTCCAGAAGTACCCGACAAGGTTATCAAGGATCGAGGCTTGGGGTGGTCGGACTTGTGTGGTCCTCTCTTGGCCTCCCCGGAGGATCGAACATCCCAAAGTTGAAGGTTTGCCCTCCACTCTGGAGGCCTAATTTTCTCTCCCCTCTGTGAGCTTCTCCTCTCAAAAGGAAGTTCAGCACCCAAAATGATGCTTTTCGACCCTCAGTCTCCGAAGACCTCCGGAAACCTCCGGAGACCTAGCCGGAGGAGGAGGAGGAGAAGAATAAGAGAGAGGAGGACGAGGAGGATGCTCGAGGATCGATGACTGGAGTCGATGGGCGTTTGGGGCCCTCTCTTGGGCCGCTGCAGAGGCTACCAGAGACCTGGCCGAGGATCTCTGGAAGCCTCCGCCGGTGGAGGAGGCGAAGTGAGGAGTGATGAGTGAGGAGAAGCGGGGAGGAGAGGACGAGGAGGAGCAAGAGTGAGGAGGAGCAAGAGTGAGGAGGAGCAAGAGTGAGGAGCGAGGGGCGAGGAGGACGAGGAAGCGAAGCGAAGGCCAGAACCGTGCGCTCTCCTCGGGGAAGCCCGCCCGTGCCCATTGGGGCACGGCGTAGAGGCCATGTGCTCACAAATGTGGTACGTAGGCGGAATCACATGGGAACCGCCATTGAGCGCTCCCAGCGGCCGATAACCATCGCAAGTCGTTTGTGCTGTTGTGCTCGTGTTGTCGTGGTCCTGTGGGGAGGACGAGGAGGAGAAGGGGGAGGAGGAGGAGGAGTGAAGGCTGTCGACGGCCTCCAGGTGTATCTGGGAGATGTCTGGTCACTTTCGAAGGATCCTGGAGGTTCGCCCAGCGCTTTGACAAGGACGATGAACAGTGGCAGTGGCAAGAGACGCGGGAGAAGCAAGGGAAGCACGATGATCAAGACAGGATAGGCCAGAACACGGGGAGTCCCAATTGACCGATTATGCATGTACCCGTGGCTCAAAGCCTCCTGGCTGTGTGAACTGAGGCGAGCCGTTACAAGCACGAGCCTAGCGAGGATACTCGAAACGGTCATCAGCACACAACGGCCCCAGCCCCAGGAACCAGGACACCCCCGCCCCTCGTCCCCTGGCCACCACTCCTCACCTCGAACATCCGTTGGCGCCGTCGTCCTCCGTCGCCGCCGCCGAGGCTGCCGCGGCCCCTGACTCGCGTACGACTCGAGATGCTCGGTGGTGGTGGCAACATTGAACAAAAGAACGCTTGCGAACCATATGTTTTGGCTGGCGTGTGGCGATTTTGTAATTCCCTAGCCGTTGGTTTTCAAGTAAGCCCAGTGACTGTCCAGCCCCGCTGCACAGCGATCTCCTGGAGCAGGGCGGCCCCAGTGGCGCTGGACTGGATCTTTACACGAGCATATCTCTGATTGGCGTCATTGTCAGTGACCACGTCGCCATGACTTGAGCCAAACGCTGCCGAAGTTGGATTCCAAGCGGAGGGGACGGATATCCACTGTATTTAAGGGATGAAAAAACGACCCTACCCTGGATTACAAGTGCGTGGTCTGCAAACCTCCTGGGAACCCCCAAAGCCTAGAGCCGCCAGGACGCGGCAGATCACGCAGGGTTTACCCTGTCAGCCCACAGGAGTTTCAGAGCACAGCGCCTCGTAAACCAAGGTAGGGGCGTTTTTTCGGCCCTTGATGTATCCCAATTATTGTACAATTGGACTGTATCCCATTCTTACATCATTGGTGCAAATTGCACTGCGCTGCATTATTGCGTTTCTCCCCATAACCCCCCTCTGGAGCCGCGCCACTACGCCGTGCCACAGGTGGAGGCCCTCATTCTGGGGCTCAAAACTTATATATATATATATATATATATATATATATATATATATATTCACATACACACATATATATATATATGTATATATATATATATATACATACATACATACATACATACATACATACATACATACATACATACATACATACATACATACATACATACATACATACACAAAACTATAGAAAATCAGCATGCTCGCCCTCGTGAGCCTCTCGGGACTCCCAAGAAGGCCTCAATAGCCCAAGATACCCCCAAGACGGCACAAGACGGCCCCAAGACGGCCCCAAGAGGGCCCATGAGGCCCCCAAGACGGCCCCAGGGGACCCCAGGAGGACCCCCAAGAGCACCTCCACAGGCCAAAACCGCTGCTTTTGTCTCACAGGTTTTCGAAGGATTTTAGCGCGCTCGTTTTTTCTATCCTTACAGGTCCATGACGGCCCAAGTAGCCTCCAAAATGATCCCAGCACAGCCCCAAAGGCCCCCAAGAGGACCCCAAAACGGCCCACGAGGGCCCCAAGACAGCCCAAAGAGGCCCCCAGGACGACCCACGAGGCCCCCAAGACGGCCCAAGTGGACCCCAAGAGAGCCCCACGGCGGCTGCGAGAGGCCCACAGGATGGTCTCCGAATGAGCCAAACGGCGCAAGAGCGCCGCAAGACCCCCCAAGAGGCCCTAAGAGGCCTCAGAGAACCCCCCAAGAGGCCCCAAGAAGACCACAAGAGGCCTCCAAGAGGCCTCCAAGAGGCTGCTCTGGACGTGCACCCCGCGAAGCGAGAGGAATCATGTTCATGCTGTTGTTGGTTCCCCGAACGCACACACACACATACACACACATCCTGAGGATCATCGACATGTAGCTGTTCCTCTACTTAAACCTCTGTTGATTTCTGTAAGGCGGCCGCCACGCGGAGGGCTCGCCCGCCGCCTGGCTACGCAAGCTCGGCTCCGGGCACGTCCCCTGCGCGCCGAAGCCGGTCCGCCACCCGCAGCTGCAGCAGCACCGAGGTGGAGGCCAGGCCCGCCACCATGCCCCACCAGACGCCCGCGGCTCCGAGGCGGCCGCCCAGCACGACGCTGAGCGGCGTGCCCACCACCCAGTAGCCGAAGAGGGCCAGCAGCGCCGCGCTCCGTGTGTCCAGAAGGCCGCGCAAGACCCCGGAGGCCACCGTCTGGCTGCCGTCGAACATCTGGAAGGCCCCGGCCACCGGCAGCAGCGCCGCCGCCTGCGCGGCCACGCGCGCGTCCGAGGTCCACAGGGAGGCCAGGCAGTGGGGCAGCAGGAGCATCGCGGCGCTCGGCACGGCCATGAGCGCCGTTGTGAAGGCGATCGCGACCACGCCCGCCCGCTGCACGCCGGCCGCATCCCGGCGCCCCAGCGCCCGGCCTGTGCGCACGGCCGCGGCCGAGCTGATGCCGAGGCCGACGTTCCAAGTGAACTGTGCGACCGACATGGCGATGTGGTGTGCCGCGACGGCCACCACGCCATGGCGGCCCACCAGGACCATCATCACCTGGTGGGCTCACTCTCCAATGCAGCCACTGCAGATGAGGGGCGGCTGACCTCTGGCAGCGTTCTGCCGTGCGAGGCGCCAGCCGCGCCCAGCAAGACACTACCGTCAGGTCAACCGCCCATGGTCTGTAGCCGTGGCATTGAAACATCTAAGTCGCCTAGCTTCGCGCATCGCGCCCCGCGATGCGCGGATGTCTTCGCGCCCTCGCGGCGCCGCCCTGGAGAAGGGTCGCTCTCCAGCCCAAGCCGAGACGCGCGAAGCGCTATCATTTTCGCGCCCGTGAACATGACCTAGAAAATAACAAAATCATAACAACCAACATAAACATAACTTTCGGAGGTCCGCGCTGATTTCTTGGGTCGGCGCTGCACCCCCCTCCCTGGCGCGCGGAGCGCGTTAGGGGCGGCGATTGAGGCGCCGCCAGGGGGGCCCAGCGCCGATATCCAAGAACTCCGTGTGGAGCTCCAAAAGCTTATGTGTATGCCAGATCACTGCGAACGCCAGGCTCTCAGCGATGCATCGACGATGCATCGACGATGCGTCGGCGATACATGGGCGACGTCGGCGTGGAGAAACTCTGACTCCACATCGAGCCGCATCGCCGATTCGTCGGCGATGCGGCGCGACCCTCCGACCCCGTGTGCTCGGACCCCGCCTGGGAGGCCTGGAGCGGTCGTGAAGACGAGCCCGCGAGGTCACTCTTGCTCCCTGAACATGGCTCCCCGCGGGTGCCCCAGAACCTGGGCCCTTCCCCACGACCGGCTTCTCGTCCCGAGTCGTTCTCCGACGCTCCCGCGGCCCGACGCGGGCCCCCCGTGTCCGAGGAGAGCGCAAAACGCCCCTCGGGTCGCGACTGTCCCACGACCCGAGGGGGTCTGGGAGTGGTGCCTGGTGACCCCGACGGGCCAGGAAACGTAGTGGGAGGGATGAGGCTGAGGGGGAGGAGGAGGAGGAGGAGGAGGAGGAGGAGGAGGAGGAGGAGGAGGAGGAGGAGGAGGGAGGAGGAGGAGGAGGAGGAGGAGGAGGAGGAGAGGAGGAGGAGGAGGGAGGAGGAGGGGGAGGAGGAGGAGGAGGAGGAGGAGGAGAGGAGGGGAGGAGGAGGGGGAGGAGGGGAGGAGGAGGAGGGGAGGAGGGGGAGGAGGGGGGAGGAGGGGGAGGGGGAGGAGGGGGGGAGGAGGAGGAGGGGGATGCGCCCACGAGGTCACCGCGAACGCCAGGCTCTCCGTCACCTGGTGGACCCCCACGGGCAGGCCGAGGGCGGCCAGCCGCAGGAGCGGCCCCGCCCGCAGCGCCCGCGCGGCCGCGCGCGGGCCGACGAGGGGCGCCAGGGCGCCGCGGCCGAGGACGGCGACCGCCAGCAGCAGCGCCCAGCCGCTCCTCAACGGGCGAGGAACGGTATAGAATAAACCTTTTCGCTGTCGGGGGGCGCCCGTCCCTGGGCGGCTGGAACGTTTATACCCCGACGGTGCCACCGTAAGGGTACAAACTTCCCAGCCGCCCAGGGACAGGCGCCCCCGACAGCGAAAAGGTTTATGTTATACCGTTCTTCGCCCGTTAAGCTCCAGACGGTCGCCCAGGAGGACCCCATCGGTGGAGCAGGGGACAACGGCGCGCGGCGGGTCTCCGTGCCGTGCCGACCCCGGCGGCGGCTCCTGACACCGCGGGGACCTTTTCCACCTCGAACGCTCGGCCACTTCCGGAACGTCAGGCCGCTCAACGTCGACCGATGCTGGGTCGCCGCCGGCGTTCCGCGTTGAAAGCGGGCGGCGGGGTCGACGCCGTTGGCATGCGGTCGCTGCCCGAAGGGACGCGCAATAGGGAACGAAAGGGCTCTCCTGGCCTCGGCGAGCCTCGGCCACGAACAAGCTCCCCGACCAAAACCGAGGAACGGCCGAGGCCCTCCTGAGCCGAAATCGGTCCTGATCTCAGCGTCTTGGTTGCAGACCAAGGCTCGCGCCAAACCGTGTTTTCCGTTCTCGCTTTGTTCATCACTTCCCCTCTTTCTGCCTTCGTTTTCCGCCTCTGCTGCGGAAGCGAAATCAAAGCGAAAACGGTCCACGGAATCGCCCAAACACCGTTTAGCTCGCGCCCTGGCATGAGAAGGACATTTCGGAGGTCCGTGCGGATTTACCTAGGATCATCGCTGCCCCTCCTGGCGGCGCCTCCGACGCCGCCCCTGGCGCACTCCGCGCGCCAGGGACAGGGGGGCCAGCGCCGATCCGAGAAACCCGCACGAAGCTCTGACAGTGTATGTCTAGTCCGTTTTCCCATCTCCGACATTGGCCCAAGGGCCGGGATTCCCAGACCTGGCAGGCCCCAGATGAGGGCGGCGTTCAGGAACACGTTGAGGGCGTTCGCCATGAGCACGGCCGCCAGGAGGGGCCCCATGGAACCCGTCGCCTGCAGCGTCTGGCGGAGGACGACGAAGAGGAGCGCGGGGAGGACGGAGAGCACCTGCACGGCCGAATACCGCGACGCGAACGGCACCAGCGATGCCGGCTGCCCCAGGGCTCTCAAGGCCGGCCCGCACAGCAGCAACAGGGGGGACAACAGGACCGAGTACAGCACCGCGAGCACCAGGCCACCTGTGGAGCAACGGCGGGGGGGGACGAGCTCTCAGGGGGGAGGAGAAACGCGACCTCGGATCGGCGATACGTCGCCGGTAGCAGCTGCGACTCCGCAAACTCCTGGGCGGGGCGGCCCATCAGGCCACTATCGGCGAGGAATGGGCGATCGGGGAACGATGCGCTCCCCCTGGAGCCCAATTATCCCCGTCCCCCGGCGTTTTTTGGGCCATCACGGTCTCCGGCGGCGGTCCAAAACGATCTGGGCATCCGCACCCACGGAACGCTCTCGGCGGGGCGCCGTTGCTGGAAAGCACCCCGAGGCTGGAAAACCACCGAACACCTGCGAAAGTCCGAAAACCTCGAACCTCGAAAAGTGGGGAGAGGGAGGAGGGAAGGGACGAGGAGGGAGGAGGAGGAGGAGGAGGAGGAGGAGGAGGAGGAGGAGGAGGAGGAGGAGGAGGAGGAGGAGGAGGAGGAGGAGGAGGAGGAGGAGGAGGAGGAAGCCATTTTGGCTCAAGGGCTGAGGAGGGGCGGGGCCGTCGTCTCGTCGGTCGCCCCCGCCGCTCGTGGCCGCGCGCAGCGCGCCATCGGCGCCGCAGCCGCGGCGGCGCAGAGCCGCCACGCCCCGAGAGGGCGAGCCCGCCTGGCACAGGCGCCAGCGGGAAAAGAGGGCCAACGCCAGGACCCTCTTCCGCGTGCTGGACGCTGCGCACATCCTCAGCAACCACCACAGCGCGCAGCAGCCCCAGCGCCACCAGCAGCACGTCATGAAGCAGAACTGGAATCAGCAGCGCGACGCCTCGAGGGAAAGGTGGTCAGGAGCAGGGACCACACACCTCGAGGCGTCGCGGCGCGGCCCTGGGAAAAGGTGGACAGGAGCAGGGTCCACAGCCCAGGCGCAGCGCCAGCGCAGCGCAGACTGGACTGGCGACTACGGAGCCATTGGTGGGCGGCCCTGGGAGTGGCAGCAGCATAGTCAGCAGCAGCAGCAGCAGCAGCCTCAGACCCACAAGCGCCACCACCAGCAGCAGCAGCAGCCACAGACCCACAAGCACCAGCAGCAAAGCGACAGCGACCAGCACTGGAAGCACAGTGCGCCCTGGAGGAGCGCCTCAGCCAGAAGGAGAAGCGGCAGGCGCAGAAGAAGGGACCAGCTCGACACGCCTGCCGCAGCCCACATCGGCAGCTACCAGTACAGCCCCCAGCAAAAGGCAGTCCTGGACAGCATCACGCCAGTCTCCTTCGCCGTCGCGATGGAGCACGAGAGCTGGTCCGCACCACCAGATGACGAAGAGATGAGGTTCGTGTGGTACAAGACCAAGTGCCACAGGCTGGGTCGTCTCTCCGAGAACATCGCAGGTGCTAGGCTGGCCGGCTTGTGCACAACCAGCCTCGAGCAGGAAGCGGCGATCACCGCCACGAACATCTCCTTCGTTCTGCCCCACAAAGAACGCATGAAGCAGCTCAGGGCCACGCTGGAAAAGCTGGAGGAGGAGCATGCCGAGATGGAGAAGCGGCTCAGCAAGATGCTGGACCAGGAGGCGACGGCCGCCAGAACCATCAGGGTCTACAAGACCCTGATGAGGGAAACCAGAGATCAAATGGCCAAGTCGGCGGGAATAAAGGACGAATCGTCTGAGGAAGATGGGAGCCATGATCCCACCAGAGGACGCACGCCACACCCGGCCGCGAGGAGAAGGCGCGACCCTTCGGCAGCTCCAGTGGCACCGACCACGGCCCAGCCAGCCACAGCTCAGCCAGCCCCTGCCCAGCAGCCCCGACCAGTCCCAGCAGCATCAGACGAGATCAAAGATGCCATCAGGAGATTGACCGAGAGGCTTGATTCGCAGCAGAAAAAAGAACAGCAGCAAAGCGACCTACTAGCACAAGCAGAGTTCAAGCACAAAAGCGAGCTGAAGGCCTACGAGCAGACCATCGCGCAAAAGATGTACCACACGACCGAAGCGCAGTTGGCCAAGCAGGAGGAGTGGCACATATGGGAGGTCAACGCACTCAAGCGGCACCACAACGCCAAGCTGGAGGAGGAGGAAGCAAAAGCATACGAAGCACAAAGAGGCACCCAGAGGACACAGGAGGAAAGGGCCAAAGGGATGCTCGCAGACCTGCAAATGCATATTGAGTTGGAAAAGAAGACTTTGCGCGAGGAGATGCACAAGGAAGACCAGAGAAGAGCAGCCATCTACACGCAGCAGGTCCAGAAGGCCAGGCAGGAAGAGCAAGCTGTGAGAGAGATGGCAACCCAGGAGGCCCAGTGGTACAAGATGGCGCAGGAGCACAACGAGAAGGCGACGCAGGAGATGGTGGAGGCGGAGTACCAGGAGAGATGCGCCCGTCACAGCGCTTATAAGGAGGAGGAGCTGCGGATCGCAGTGAACTATCAGCAGATGGCCCACGAGCATCAGGATGAAGCCAACAAGCGCGAAGCGATGCGGGTCGTCCTGAACCTGGAGCATGCAGCCATCCAGGCGAAGGCATACGAGATGCAGCACGAGCAGGAAAGGTATCTGGAGCGCGTCGGGGAGCACCAGGAGGCGGTGGACAAAGCCCAAAGGATGGAGGAGGTGGCACTGCAGCGACAAGCAGCAGCCACAAGCGAACTCCAGGCACTACAGCAGCAGCAGGAGATGGAGAACCAAGCGGCGCATCAGTACCACAGCACACTGCAGCACCAGCACCAGCAGGAGATGCAGGCCATGGCGCAGCACTACGCCCACAACCATCATATGAACGAAGCACAGAGGCAGCAGCAATTACAAGACCTCCAACGTGCACATGATTTGCAAACGGCAGGACTCCAGACTGCACTACGGGATGCCTGGGGAGCAGGAGGACAAGTGGACGAGGACCTGCTAATCGACATGACGGACGACCTCATGGGAGACACAGCCACGAGTGAGCGCGACCAAGGCATGGCGGACCAGGAGGGCGCGTACCAGAGGGAGCAACTTGAGGCAGACTTACTTCGGCTGCTACCTAGCCAGTACGAACTTCCACATCCAGAACTACCGCCGTACCTCGAGGAGCTGGCCGAGGTGGGATTTGGAGAGAGGTCCCATACATCGTCTATGCCAACGCCAGAGGAGCCTACCCTCTCGTCGAGCGACGACCTCAGCTTCCAGAACCAAAGCTTTGTGCCGAGGACATCCGCCGAAGAGTGTCCGCTACCTCCACCACCACCTCAGCAGCGCCCGCACATCGAGGAGTACAACAGTGTCGGCTCCTTTTCGCACTCAGGGATGCTCGAGGTACGGGCGAGCAGCGACTGCATCCCAATTGGCGAATCCGACGACGCTGACCTGCTGGACGAAGAGATGAAGAACCGCCAAGGCCTGCGCAAGGAGAAGGAGGACGAAGCCCCGACAGACCTCGCCTCACTCTCACCAACGATACCAGCCGACTCACCCATCCCGACGGAACAGCCCACGCCAAGACACATACTTTTTCCGCCCGTCACGCCTCTCACGCCAAACAAGACCCCACAACAGCGTTCACAGCCAGCCAAGACTCCCATGACGACGCTGTTCATCGACCTCAGCCGCGACGAGGAGGCTTGCCCCAGCACACCTCCACGGATGCCGATTGAGGACATCACGCCCACCGAGCCACACGAGCCACGGCTGCCACCACCGCGGTTCCACTTGGGCACGCCAGAGAGGACGAGCTCGGCACCTCCATGCAGAGGTAACCTGAAGCAACCAAGGGAACCCAGGAGGGCGAGGAGCCAGCCGAAAAAGGTCAGGATCTGCGACGCGGACGATGGCTTCGCGGACCCAGGAGACAGAGTGGCATCCTTCATCGAGAGCGGCGAGAGCGACCTCGACGGGGGTCGACTGTCAAAAAACTGATACGGAGCACGCAGGCTGGGGGGCAACTGGCCCAGACCTGCGTCCAGACAGCTACACCAGAAGATATCGGGGATATCGGGCCCAGACTCAGAGACCCGTGCGGTGACGAGCCTACGCCCAACGACCCACACCCATGGCCTTCGGCCACACGCACACGATCGCACCTAGCCTCCATCACACTACATAGCTATGTCCAAGCCGATGCGAGCCTGGGGGATGCCGCACCCGCTTCAAACCACCAACGCTCTACTAGGGAGCCCCGACTCAAAAGACGTAGCAGACGAACTACCTGCATTACCAGCTCCCTAGGCGCCGCGTCTGTGGGCAAGGGTGGGGACCACCCACAGAACGGCGACATCAAGTCTGAGCGCTTCAAGCGCGGACCTGAGCGACTCCCTCAGGCCGCGAGCCCCACTGCCAGCGGGGTTCAGACAAGCAACCAGCACCGCGACAGGGTGAGACTGCAACAAGAGTGGGAGAGCTACTCGAGCAGTCCGACGCAGTGCCAACAGCGTGGACCAAGGCGACACCCCTTGGCCACGCCTGGTTCGACATCCCACTTCGCGGGAGCCGCGGCGGCCCATGCGGCGTCGCAGCCCAGGCAGCACAGCCATGCGAAGGAGGACCCAGGCAGCAGGTCGAGACTATCAGATCTATCACATCTGGAGGTCTCCCAGCGCCGGGTACTCGAGGAGCACCCCACGCTTGCAGTCGACGGAGCCTGGCTTTCCCGCCAACCTCTCGACTCCAGCCACCTGGGCTCGCAAGCAGACCACATGGCAAGCACAAAGACCCCTAGAGGGCTGGCTAGTCCACCAGCGTCAGCCAAATTAAATGCAGATACTACGACACAACCAAGCACTGACTACAATCGACAGATACAGCATGGACCCATACAAGCCTACGAGCTAGAGCAAATACAGGACACATACCTTGACAGCAAAAGCTGCAGCCCAACATCAGCAGAACCGCACCTCAACGACGCCACAGCTGTTGCAAGAGAAAGAAGAGTGGCGAGGCGCAAAAGATTACTAAGACAGGCGCTCAGGGTGGAGATGCGACCAGACATTGGAGTGACGCTGACCAAGAACTCCTTCGAGGCGCTTGCGGACAGCAGCATCTGCGAGGACGAAGCACGGCCAGATAGCACTC